AGCCCGATGCGGGGCTCGATCCCAGGACCCTGGGATCATGACCTGAGCCGAAGGCAGACGCTTAACGACTGAGCCACCCAGGCGCCCCAAGAATCACACTTTTAAAAGTATATTTTAAAGAGAAAACAGTGTCTACTAACATATAGTCACAATATATATAGAGAGAAGAAAGTAATGTACCAGAAAGTCAGAGTGCTTCTCTCTTGAGTGGCAAGATGATAGATCAGATAGAAAATAAATGCCCAACAGACAGAAATTCTCAAGGAATGTGTAAGCAAGTCTTCCTGCTGGGGCCTCCTGTCACACTATTCTGTCAGATTGGGTGTAAATATCACCCAATGCTGGGTTAAATCATGTGTCCAAGAGTGGTCTGAAGAGTTGTGCAAACCCTTGGGTCTTCTCCCTTTTCCAGCCACCTAATGATCCCCACGGAATCCAGAGAGAAGATCTCATCCTGAGTCTTCGAGCTGTGCTGGCTTCGACACCGCGATTTGCCGAGGTGGGTCTAGCCAAGGTTACGTGTGTAGCCTCTGCCCAAAGAAGGCTCTGAAGAAAGAACAGTAAGAGCATGGGGAAAAAGAAAGATCCAGAATACATTTTTAGGGTATGGCATCCTGCAAGTGTCTTGAGGCTTATTATGTGGCAAGTATCTTCAGATCTTCAAAGTGGAAACCTTTACCATCTCTGTTTAAAATAATAATCCAATCTCTATATGGTGCTATCTTTAAAATCCTGTAGTGTTGCCAACTAGCTCATTTTTCAGGTTAACTGGGAGTCTGGCCGCAGCTTGGCAGGAAGGTTGGTTTACAGTCACAACTCCTGACTCAACTCTTTGTAGCTCTTTAATGTAGCCCCTACCCCTGGGGACAGGTGGTAATAAGGATGTAGTTGACCTTGGTGCTTTGGTGTGGCTATGACACTACCCATCTCAGACTTCAGTTCTTCCTTCTCTCCCACAGTTCCTGCTGCCCCTACTGATTGAGAAAGTGGATTCTGAGATTCTGAGTGCCAAGCTGGATTCTCTGCAGACTCTGGTGAGGGATTTCTCTTTTTTCCAGGGTCCAGCTGCCTTTAGACAATGTAGAGGTACTAAAGGGTATAGACTCAGAGACAGGGAATAGTTCAGTGGCCCTCATGAGAGGGATACCCAGAATCTGGGCCTATATGTTGACCCAAAGCCCTCCCAGCTACATATAGTCTGGTCCAATAGTAACTGAGTGGCAGCTGAGGAAAGGCTGACCAGGGCTCCTCCTTTTTTTTTTTTTTTTAAGATTTTATTTATTCATTTGAGAGAGAATGAGGGAAAAGCAGACTCCCCGCTGAGCTGGAAGCCCAACGTGGGACTCGATCCCAGGACCCCGAGATCATGACCTGAGCTGAAGGCAGACGCTTAACCATCTGAGCCACCCAGGCATCCCAGGGCTCCTTCTTTATGCTTATTTTCCATCAGTCAGGATGAGCTCCCATTTTTCTGTGACCTGATAGGATTCTTGTGAAATCCTGCTGGTTCTTCTGCTGAGAGCCATGCTCCTTCAGGTGTCATTTTGCTGAAGTGCCTGCCTGTCCTCGGAAGTCTGATTGTGTAGATAGCTGATACCTACACTTTCCTTGGCAGAATGCATGTTGTGCTGTGTACGGACAGAAGGAACTAAAGGACTTCCTTCCCAGCCTTTGGGCTTCTATCCGCAGAGAGGTGAGTGTTAATTAGATAAACTCACTACTGTTAACTCCCTGTTGTCAGGCATCAGAGGAAGTAACACACCCTGTCCTTTTCCCTGTCGCAAGCCAGTAAAGGGGCATACTTCTAGTTGAATGACGGGGGAAAAAGTCGCTACATAGGGTTAGCTGTTTGGTGATGGCACGCAATCACTTTTTCGTAGTGCCCACTTCCTGTCCTTCCATGGTAAGGAGCATAGTTCATGGTGCCTCTGGCACCATACTTAATAAGGGGGTGGAGGGGAGAGGAAGAGACTTAGGAAAGGGGATCCCAATAGCCAATGCTCCCAAGTTGGTATCCTCTTTCTCAAAAAGTAGTGTATCAATTCTAGTGGGACTAAGGACTTGGTGAGAATACACCTGTTGAGAAGAAACGCACTTGAGGAGTTAATTTCCATTGCTCTGCCCTAAAGGCTCTCAAAGCCCACCTCTCAAAGGAAACAGGCAGTGGGTGGGTGGGCTCTCACCTGGTGCAGGCTCACCTCAGTAGCCATGGGATCCCTCCCTGACAGGTGTTCCAGACGGCAAGTGAGCGGGTGGAGGCCGATGGCCTGGCGGCTCTCCACTCTCTGACTGCGTGTTTGTCTCGCTCTGTGCTGAGAGCTGATGCTGAGGACTTCCTTGACTCCTTCCTTAGCAACATTCTACAGGGTAATGGGGCCATGGCAGCCAGAAAGGGGGTTGAGCACAACAGAAAGAAGTTCCATAAAGCCAGTGACCTTTTATGACTAGCCCTCCATGTTCAGTGATTTGGGTGCTGGAGCCCTACTTTGAATTGAAAACACTTTGAGTGGTAACTGCTAGCAAACTGTCCCAAGTCTCAATCTCTAACTTCTGTGGACTGCAGGGGAATCAGGCAACATTCAGCCTACTCCCCAGGTCTGTGATGTGCTGCCTCTCTAGACTGCAGGCACCATCTTTGTGAACCGGACATGAAACTGGTGTGGCCTAGTGCCAAACTATTGCAGGCAGCTGCAGGTGCATCTGCTCGGGCCTGTGACCACATCACCAGCAACGTGTTGCCTTTACTGCTGGAACAGTTCCACAAGCACAGTCAGGTAAGGAAATGGAATCTTTCGAGGAAATGATGGGACCTCTTGCTAAGATCCCTTTCACAGAGAGAGAGCTAAGTGTTGAGCTTGTCCCATATCGTATATCTTGGGTTTTGCTCTCATCAGTTGCTGCTGGTTCCCTTGTTCACTCTCTTCCTGACACTCTTACATAAAAGGATAATTCTCCCTGCTTCAAGAGGAGCAGGACTGAAATCCTTTAAAATATTCTTTGACCCCCATACATCTTAAAACATTACAGAGCAACCAGCGACGGACAATCCTTGAAATGATCCTGGGTTTCTTGAAGCTGCACCAGAAATGGAGCTATGAAGACAAGGGTGAGATCACCTTCCAGGTGTGGTGTCCTGGGGGCTGCTGAGCACTGTATTCCTATAAAGAATGGCAGGCAAAGAATGCTACAGAGAAGTACTCAAGAACAACAGTGGTCCTGTTGTTCTGAGTTTGTAGCACAAGAGAACACTTATCAGATGAGGCCTGTTTATTTTTTCCCCAGTGTACCTCCTGGACACCCAGTGGATTAAGTTCTTTGAATCTTGCCCCAAGTTGTCTTTGCAACACTGCTGAGTCAGGGCTTTCCTCTAACCTGGACTTTGTCCCTAGATGAAAGGCCGCTGAATGGCTTCAAGGACCAGCTGTGCTCACTGGTGTTCATGGCTCTGACAGACCCCAGCACCCAGCTTCAGCTTGTTGGCATCCGTACACTCGCAGTCTTGGGTGCCCAGCCAGGTACACTTAAGAGAAAGAGAAAAGAAAGGGTATCGGTCCTTCCTTGCGATTTTCTGTCTTCAATGAAGAGCAACCTTAATTCCCTGGTTCTCACCGCAACTGTGGATGATTTGGGATTTTTTTTTTTTTGATTCTATTTGAGAGTGAGAGTGTGTGCATAAGCGGGGGGAGGGGCAGAGAAACAAGCAGACATCCTGCTGAGCGGCGAGCCTGACTGTGGGGCTTGATCCCAGGACCCTGAGATCATGACCCGAACCAAAGTCAGCAGCTTAACTGACTGAACCACCCAGACGCCCCGCAGTTTGGGATGTCTAATAGGACTTTGTGAAGGGTTGTGGTGGCTACAGAGGGAGAAAGATGAGGTTTGTGTTTCTTTCTAACACAGATCTCCTGTCTTCTGGGGACTTGGAGCTGGCAGTGGGTCACCTGTATAGACTGAGCTTCCTGGAGGAGGACTCCCAGAGTTGGTGAGACTCAAAAGCAGCGAGATAGAGCGAGCTGTTCCAGGGCTCTGTGCTTCTGACCCTTGACTATCCCTAGGGGAGGGGGGCCCTGTGCTTGACTCTGCCTACCAACTGATTGGAGATGTCAGACTTCTCTCTTTTGAGGGCATTGAGAAGCCCTGTCCAACTTCGTGGTGTAGGTACTTGAGTCCTGCTTTTAAGCAAGGCAGGCTTGGGAGTCCACACCCCTGAATCTGCTTAATGGCAGGCCTAGCAAGAGAACTGTGGGCCAAGGCTCAGCTACTGCTCATCTGCCCTGTGCCCCGGCAGGGTGGCAGCACTGGAAGCATCAGGAGGCCTGGCCGCTCTCTACCCCGTAGCCTTCAGCAGTCACCTCGTGCCCAAGCTCGCTGAGGAACTGCGCAGAGGTATGTGTCTCTGTCCTCTGTGGCTCACCCCTTCCCAGGGACGTTTGGGGCCTTCACATGTGCCATCACACAGTGAAGTCATGTCTCCTGGGTTGCTTTCAGGGGAGTTAGATTTGACTAGAGGGGATGAGCCCACCAAATGCTCCCGGCGTCTGCGCTGCTTGCAAGCCTTGTCAGCTGCATCGACGCATCCCAGTATTGTCAAGGAGACCCTGCCTGTGCTGCTGCAGCATCTCTGCCAGATGAACAAAGGTAATGCCAGGAATAACCATCCAGGAGCTGGGCTGAATGGGGAGCTGTGGGCAGGTTTGGAGTTGATGCCTCTAAGGCAGTGGTTCCATTGGTGGCTCTATGTAAGAGTCACATGGGAACCTTTAAAATATGTCGGTGCCTGGGCCTCAGTTCAACTGAATGAGTGTCTGAGGAGGGATGGGGCTTGAACAATGGGAATTGTTGAGTGTCTGGGTGATTTCAATGTGAAGTCAGAATTGAAAAGCACCACTCTAGGGCCGTGCTACTCAAAATGTGTTCCATCCACCAGCAGCATGGGCGCTGTCTGGGAACTTCAGTGCAGAATCTCAGGCCCTCCTGATCAGAATTTGAACAGGATCTCCAGCTAGCTCATACGCACCACTGCTCCAAGGCAGAAGTGACAGCAGCTGTTGCTACTGTGGACCTATGCAAGCTCACCGTGGGCCTCACTAAGTCCCTAAGCTCCCGGCTTGGCACTGCCCAGCCTTCTGTGGCAGATCCAGTGGGTGTTCCAGCAGCCGTTACATAGTAGAAAGAACACTGGACTAGGAGTATGGCCGGGGTTTGACTCCTAACTTTGCACTTACTGTGACCCTGGAAAACCACTGGTGGTTTCATTTAGCCTCCGCAATCTCCTCTATGAAATGGGAGAAATGATACTTCTCGGGTGGTTATGAAAACGAAAGGAGAAAACATATGAGTGCTTCTGTTGCAGAGCTGGTGCTGCTCCAAAATCGGAGGTGAAAAAGAACAGCCAAGAGAATAAAATTATTTGGCTCTTTATAAGACACTCTTGGACTCTTTAGTCACTCATCTTTGATTACTCTTCCCATATTCTGTATCTGAAAGACCTGGAAGTGCTTTTAAGGAAACGACAGAATATTTTCTCACCACACAGGGAATATGGTTGCAGGAACCAGTGAAGTTATTGCCGTCTGTCAGAGCCTCCAGCAGGTGGCAGAAAAATGCCAGCGGGACCCCGAGAGCTGCTGGTATTTCCATCAGACAGCTTTACCTTGCCTGCTTGCCTTGGCTGTGCAGGCTTCCATGCCAGGTGACTTTCTGCACCCCGCACTTCGCTAGCTATGCCTCCTCTGGGCCTCAGCCATCCACTAATGTTGAACAGCGCTGCCACCCTGAGGCTATCGCTGGTATTACATTTTGTACTGGCAGAGGCTTCCTTTGAATCCTTTGTCCCCAAGGTGAGATTTCACTTCAGGCGAAGGGTGCTTTGCTTGAACAACCTGACCGGTGTTAGCAACACTCAGAAGGATGCACACCTTTTTTTCTCTATAACTGCTATGTAATTAGTTTAGCTAGAATGAGGCTCTGGAGTTAAGCTGACCTGGTTGGGTTTCATCTTCAACTCCACCACTTGTTAAGAGAAGATATTTAGCCTTTGTATGCCTCTGTTCCCTCGCTTATAAGGGGAAGATAAAGAGTAGTATCTACGTCACAGGGTAGTTAGTAAGGAGTAAATAAGAACGTGTGGTGCCTGGCAACATAGTATATAGTATGTACCTGTGGTGGCTCCACGTAGGTAGCTGCTATGATAATGAAGACCCGTGACAATACATCTGTGTTATCTTTAAGTTTTGGAAAAAACTAAAATATTTCTGAAGTTAAGGTTGTAATAGCTAGCTTTATTTTCCCCATTGCCCAGTCTAAGGACAGCACAAAATTCTCAAGAACTCTTTGTGGCCCACGTTAACCACTCCTTCTGGTGCCGTGCTGGTGCTCAGGGCTACTCGGGGCTCTAACCCTACTAGAGGACAGGTTAGAAACTGCTGCCATTGTGACTGGGGTCCTGATGATGACAGGACCTAATCATCTGAACCATAGTCATAGCCTGGTGATTCTTTGTGTGTGTGTGTGTCTGTCTGTCGATTTTTCAGAGAAGGAACAATCAGTTCTGAGAAAAGTACTGTTGGAGGATGAGGTCTTGGCCGCCATGGTGTCTGTCATTGGCACTGCCACTACCCACTTGAGCCCTGAGTGAGTATAATCATTGATGTGGCTTGATCCTAGGCAGGATAGCAGTCTTGGGGAGAAGCGGCAGGTAGCTGCCTTCTGAGCTGTCCTTTTACCCAGAATCAAATGTGGAGGGAGTAGTTTTGCTGACCAAGTAAAAGGAAGGGGCTTTTTAGCACCAGGGACTATGAGGGTAGTGGAGGCATGGGCTAATGGCTCTTAGCTACAGATGTACATAAGAATCACCGGTGGAGCGTTTTGTTTTGTTTTGTTTTTAAATATACGTTGAGTTCTCTGACTAGACTGTAAACTCCAGGAGAACAGGGATTTAATCTATCTGGTTCATTCCTAAATCACCAGGGCCTAAAATGGGAACGGTTCTTAGCACATAATATATGCTGAATTAATACTTGCTGAATGTGTGAATGATCATGTTCTGGCCCATTGACTCAGTGACTCTAATGTGAACTCAGGGTACTTCAGAACCCTGGCTCCTTGGTAATACATAGTCTTCCATCCCCAGCTTAGCTGCCCAGAGTGTCGCCCGCATTGTGCCCCTTTTCTTGGATGGCAACATCTCCTTTCTGCCTGAAAACAGCTTCCCTTGCAGATTCCAGCCATTCCAGGTGAGGGTCTGATGGATCAGAAGGGAAAGAATCTTGGGACTTTTTTTTTAAGACTGTATTTATTTGAGAGAGAGTGCGCACAAGAGAGCACAAGTGGTGGAGAAGGAGAAGCAGACTGCTGAGCAGGGAGCCTGATGTGGGGCTCAATCCCAGCACCCTGGGGTCATGACCCCAGGCTGAAGGCAGCCGTTTAACCGACTAAGCCACCCAGGCACCCCAGAACTTCTTTCCTTCAAATTTTTAGGGCTAATCTGGGATGGATTTGGGGGCAGACAAGCCTATTGCTGGCAGGACAGGCTTGCTGGAGCTCTTCTTCCTTTATAGGATGGCTCCTCAGGGCAGAGGCGGCTGGTTGCACTGCTTATGGGCTTTGTCTGCTCCTTACCTCGAAATGTGAGTACATTTGGGGAGTACTCTAGTTTAACCCTGACAAGGGGAGGCAGCTCCCAAGTGACTTCTGGGCAGAAACTTGCCATAGGCTAAGCTGATCTTCTGTTTTCCTCACTGGAGAATTTAGTTCTCATCCATCCTGGACCCTGCTGCCACTTTCTACTGGGTATCTCTTGGGGTGCGAGTGTTCTCTTCGTGCATCACATGGTCAGGTTTTGTGTAGGTGGAAATCCCTCAGCTGAACCAACTCATGCGGGAGCTTGTAGAGCTGAGCTGCTGCCCCAGCTGCCCCTCTTCCTCCACCGCCGCTGCCAAGTGCTTTGCGGGACTCCTCAACAAGCTCCCTGCAGGTACTGAAATGAGGCTGGGGGTTGGGAGCCTCCCGGAATCGATTACTGATGAAATCTTGGAAGTTCAGCCCTTATGCTCTTTAAAAAAGGAGCTGCTAATAATGTAATAGGGACTCCCAAGGGACAGCCCTTGGGACAAGAGTCGGGACCAGAGTTGGGCAAAGCATTAAGGGACATAAGAAGATAAGAGGGTTCAAGCAGAGTGCTCTGTCTAGGTCTGTCATCCTACTCCCCACAGGGAGCTATTAGAGATGATTTTTTACTAGAAGTAGACTGCTCTTTCCGAATACTAGCACCCATGTTAGGAGATACCAGACTCTCATGCTAGTGTCCTAGAGCTGAGTGGGCAGTCACAGCCAGAATGATACCGTTCTTCTAAAGGCTTCTCAGGGAGCTCTGCATTTAAATGACTTATATCCTTTGCTGTTAAAGGAGAAATGTGTAGCCTCTGCATCAGTGTTTCTTATTTTTAGGGCAACAGCTGGACGAATTCCTGCAGCTAGCCATGGACAGAGTAGAGGCTGGCCTGAGCCCTGGGCCCTGTCGTAGTCAGGCCTTCACACTGCTTCTCTGGGTAAGGAGCCAGAATGGATTCTGGTTAGACAGAGACAATGATGTCTGGTTAAATAAAATTTCTCCATTTGACCTTGAACCATAAGCATGCTTCTTGGAGTTCTGGGGTTTGAGTGCCATGCCCTGTTCTCTGATTACAGGTAACAAAGGCCCTAGTACTCAGATATCATCCTCTCAGCTCCTGCCTTACAGACCGGGTAAGTCCATTCTGGAGACAGGAGAGCCAAGGACCTACACAGAAACTTCCCTGTTTATTCTCCCAGAAAGGACAGCCATCCTCCTCTTGCGTATTTAAGATTGATTCTTCTCTTCTGGTGCACCTCTTTTCTCCAGCTCATGGGCCTCCTGAGTGATCCAGAACTAGGCCCAGCAGCAGCCGATGGCTTCTCTCTGCTCATGTCTGACTGCACGGACGTGCTGACCCGTGCTGGCCATGCTGAGGTACGGATCATGTTCCGCCAGCGGTTCTTCACAGATAATGTGCCGGCTTTGGTCCAGGGCTTCCATGCTGCTTCCCGAGGTGAGAAGGGTCTAAAAGAAAGGCCCCAAATATATAGACCTTTCCTTTGCTCAGGCCACATTCCCTCAAATAATTTAGGACCCAAGTGCTTCTTTAGAGCTATACTGTCATCTGTACCTGAAAGGCTAAATTTCCACATTCTTGTCCCACTTTTTTCCTTTGATGAGCCTGTCTTGCCTTTTCTGAGCTTCAGGGTTTTGGGGGGTTTTTTCCCAACCTTTTTCTAGGCTGATGTCCCAGCTTCATAGAGATTGGAGTTGAATTCCCAAGCTCTATGTCTGAGACCCAGTTTCTCCCTAAGCTTTTCCATCTTTTTACAGATGTGAAGCCAAATTACCTGAAGGGCCTGTCTCATGTCCTTAACAGGCTGCCTCAGCCTGTGCTCTTGCCAGAGTTGCCCACGGTAAGCCCTGCAGTCAGAGCCTCAAACAGGGACTAAGCCACTGTCCCCAGCCGGGGCATGGTGAGGTGGAGGAAAAGCAGGCTCATCACATACGTGATCGTGCCCGCCTTCTCTGTGGCCCCTTAGCTGCTTTCCTTGCTGCTGGAAGCCCTGTCCTGCTCTGACTGTGTAGTACAGCTCTCCACCCTCAGCTGCCTTCAGCCTCTTCTACTGGAAGCACCCCAGGTCATGAGTCTTCACGTGGACACCCTCGTCACCAAGTTTCTGAACCTCAGCTCTAGCCCTTCCATGGTGCGTTAAGCCCCCACAACTCTTTGGCACCTATGTCTCTCCTTCCTGGGTCTCCCGTTACCCTCTATGGTTGTGTTCCAGGCTGTCCGGATTGCTGCACTGCAGTGTATACACGCTCTTACTCGTCTGCCCACTCCCGTGGTGAGTACCTGAGATGGTCCTCTCTGGCCTGGACCCTTCTTAGAAGAGCCAGAGAAGTACCTTTTTGCCTTAATCAAGTGGGACTGGCCACCCTGCTGTGTGATTGAGGTATACACAGGCAAGGATTTGCCTGACTACCCTGTAATAGAACGGCCATCCTGCCACAGAGCATTCTCTGGAATCACTAAAGGAGAATAGGAAGAACATTAGTCGTAGAGTCAGAGAAGCAGCCCTTTCAGTTGCTTTGGTTGAGCAAGGCCATGGTTCTTCTAACTCCACAGCTGCTGCCGTACAAACCACAGGTGATCCGAGCTTTGGCCAAGCCCCTGGATGACAAGAAGAGACTGGTGCGCAAGGAGGCAGTATCAGCCAGGGGAGAATGGTGAGTTTCTAGGTCATGGGCAAGATGGGATTGAAATGAGCCTCATCGCTGATGCTGCCTGCATTCTTTTTGCCTACAGGTTTCTGCTGGGGAGCCCTGGCAGCTGAGCCCTCGGTCCTGGCCTAGGCTGTTCTACAGACAATCTAACCTGGAATTACTAACTATCAAGCCATCTTGCCCAAGGCAGGGAGACCACTGGCCTCTGATGGCCTCTCCCTGGGCCACTGTTGCATGGCTCTGTAACATAGGAATCCTGACTTCTAATGGCTTTGTGAAGTAACTGAGTGTGAGACCACTTGTGTTTGAAGAAAGATCTTGGGTTGGGGCTTTTCCATTTATTTGTCAGAAAAAGGGAGTATGCTGCTGAGGGGCGAATGCAGATGAATGTGGCTTTGAGAACCAGAATGATGGAAGTGTGTGTACCTACTAGAGAATAAAGATTTCTTTTGGTAATGGGGCGGTCAGCTATTTCCCGCTCCCCACTTACGTCTTTGTGGCACCTTAACTAGAGCACCACTGTGTACGCTTAGAGGAACACTAACAAGAATTCTTTGGGGCATCCACCCCTCCAAGTAGAGCACAGGAAGCAGGACCAGAACGCTAGGCCTTGACCCTGACTTCTCCCTTCCTCGCCCTCTAGTAAAAGCAAAGAGAAGCTACATATCTTTAAAAATCAAATACCTTTATTTTTCACCTTCAGCAGCATGTGAGAAGTGGCAGTGACCTCAGCAGTAGGCCTGGTGTCTTGCCCTGTTGGGAAGCCAGAATCTCCGTTCTACTGTTCAGGTGTTTTCTCAGATAGCAAGTGGCAGAGGTGGTGGCCAACCCCAGTGCTGGAACCTGGAGGAGGTTGGGGTCAGCACCTGGCAGGGTTGCTAGCTGCCTAATCTCCAGTCTGGGGCTGGAACTTCAGTTTGCCTGAGCTGAGTCAAGGTACATCAGTCCTAGGATTTTTCCACATCATGCCTTGTTTCTGCAATAGCCAAGAGACTGGTCCTTGAGTTGTCCCTGCATGGTACTCTACGGCAGGCCCACTGACTTTTTTTGCCCAAGGATTCCAAGAAGCTATCCTTGGAGGCCCTTGAGACAATGCAGGAAGCAGAGTGGTGCTCAAGCTGTGGCTGACACAATCCAGCTCACACTGCCATCACAGAGGCTGAGTGAGCAGTCACCCAGGGAGGGGGGTCCCAGCTCATTCCATTCCCATGGGGCAGATGACTGGAAGGTAACAGCACCCGAGTAAGCCAGTGCCTACAAGAGAAGATAGAATGTCTGAGTTCCAAGAGTTCCTGGTCTTCCTTCCTGATCCTCAGTCCTCAGCAAGGATTCAAAGTATCCTGAAGCCACCTTGGCATTAATCCCAAAGAAACAAAAGTTCTAATTTGTCCAATGTGCCCTCTAGTGCCTTGAGGGCCTCGAGAGGTTGCAAGCTAAACTTCTAAGGGGCCACTGCAAGCAGTGACAGGCAGGAATGTAATGAGGACGGGAAAGGGAAGAGGGCAGGTACTTTTGATCACCTGATTATTACTGTCTTGGGAATTGCAATTTGAAAAGTGGTTTACCCTTGTCTCTTGGGCTCAGGGAGCGAACTTCATTTTTTTGTCTTAGGACTTCTGTTACAAATAGATTACTGCAATCTCACGTGTTGCTGGCTTGAACTCCAGACACTGCCATACAAATGGGAGGAGGTTGGTGGTCACTCTGTCCTACCTAGAGGTCCCTTCTTGACAACAGCTCTCTCAGGGTTCTGTTGTGGTCATCTGTAAGCCTCATATGCATGTACACCACACAGTTTTGGCCGTAAGCCCCTTTGGCTCAAATGAAGTGATCTCTACTCCCAGAGTCTAGATCTGCAGTGGCCCATTATGGTAGCCACTAGCCCACATGGGTCTATTTAAATTAGTGGAAATTAAATTAAAAATAGAATTTATGGGTGCATTAGCCACGTTTCAAGTGTTCAGCAACCATATGTGGCTAGTGCCTAATGTCTTACACAGCATAGATACAGAAAACTTTTCTTATCACAAAGTTCTACTGGATGGCACTGGTCTAGATGTTTTACTTTACCTTCCTGTGTCCACACCCAGGAATACCTTCCAGTTGTCCAAGCAGCCGTAGTTGTAATGATTCCTAAAAACCTAGAGCCAAGAAAAACACAGGTTTCTACAAACCCCTTTTTACTTAATCCCCTCCTAATTTTAAGAGCCTAAACTGGCTAAGCTAAGGCTCAGCTAGGCAAGTTCTGACCTTTTATGACGCCTATTGGCCCTGACTATGGCTTCTGTTTTCAGGACAGCAGGTTCAGTTACCCTCCACCCCAAGCCCTCAGCCCTACTCACTCTGCCCTTGGCCTGCAGCCGACGTCTCTCCTTCTTGTTGATGTGCCTTTCGATACTAGTCTCACCTCGACTGATGAGAACAGCATGCCATACAGTTAGGGCACCCAAGGCAAGTGCTACGGAACTAAGAAAAGAGGGGCCGAGATTGGTGGCGAGCTTAGGGGAGGGGGCTACAGGTAGGTCTGAATCTGAAACTGAGCTGAGCAATAATGATCCACTAGAGACCTCTCTGCCTAAGTCTTATCTCCCAGCCTACATCCTAGGTGAGTTGTTGCTTCAGTACGTCTATAAAAAACACCAATGAAGAAGCATCGACATGAAGAAAGAAGGGTAGGGAAACAAGTCTGCATTGCTAATAAAAATGGTCCATATCTCCTAAAATCCCCATGCTTAGGAAACAACAACAGATAGAGAAAGCACCAGGTTTAGAACAGGAGGCACACAATTCCAACTGCAGCTCTCCCATTCCCAGCTGTGATCACACAGCAGCTCACTTCACCCTCTGCTCTTCAGTTCTCATCTGGAAATTGCACTGCCCTACCCTGAGGCAGGAGTTTAACTTACCTTGGCACAGAACGCCCAGTGCTAGCTAGCATCCTTAGCATTCCCTGCCCCAGAACGCTGAAGAAAATGAAGCACTGACTCTTTGCCAAGTTAAGTCACACTAAGAAGAGTGGCAGATGACACGTGGGTCCCTATCTACACATGGGCACTAGAATGGTTTTCCCAAAGCTGCCCCCCATTAAAGTGTCAAAAATGAGCGTTCGATACCTGCACAGGAACCAGAGGTAGACAAGACTCTTGTGAGTCACCCTTTCTCGGAAGGAGAAGGTGGGTGGTGGGGTCTGGTGATAAGTCTAGAGAAAGAAGAGCAAGGGGGTTCATTTGCTCTATTGGTCTCCACCACAGCCCCCAGCAACTGCAGGCAGGGAAGGGACCAAGCCCAGGGTGAGAAAGTAGGGAGTTAAGCCACAGAGGAGTCAGGGTGGCAGCCAGATGGGTGGGCCAAGCCCGGCGGCATCATCATGTGGACACACACTGGGTAGGGCGGGTCTGGACAGGATGGCAAAGCACAGGAGGAGCCGACCCTGGGCCTTCAGATTTGACAACACAAATGGGGCTCCAGGGGAAGCCACTCCACTTCCCAGCGAGAACTCCCTCACTATGTGGCTGCAATCCTCAAGAGAGGAGGCCCACACCCAGAATGCAAGCACAAGCAGGGAGAACTGAGCTCCGATTAAGGGCTAAAAGGGCAGCAGAGGTAAGTGGTACAGTTGTGAGCCCAGGACCTCTCAGAGTAAGGGGTCCTAAAAGGCCCAGGGGAAGGGACGATCCTGACAACGGATGCAGAAAGACCAGGACCAAAGGGTGATCAGACTGGTCCAGCCTGATCTCTGTCCCCTGGAACCCCATTACACACACTAACACAGACTCCTTGCTGCTCAGGCCATCACCAAGGCAGAGTCCTTGCTCAGCCCAAAGAAGGTGATAATGGGGTAGAGAGCCCAAAACTGTCACAAACCAGGGACTTCAGTTTACCCCAGGCCACCCAGTCAGCAGACAGCTTCCCAGAACACCACTGATCCAGTCCTGAGAGGCCCCTCGGCCAGCCTCTACAACTCCACTAGCAGGCGGCCCCCGCTGCCTCAGCAACCCCATCCCCCTGGCCTGAGCAGCAGGAGGCAGTGGGGTGGGGACGGCCCACCTGGTTGGCAACCGCCTGTAGTTTGTTCTTGTCGAGCTGTTTCATTTTCTAAGGGGATGGAAAACAGTGCTGGTTATACTCTCAGGCCTCTAGGACGGCGGTGCTACCAGCCCCACTTAGGGACAGATTCTATGCCCCAAAATTCTACTGAGCTGTCCTGCTCCTAACTATGGGCTCACCTCGATGGCAGCATAAGCTTCCCGGAAAAGGTCCCAACTCCCGTAGCTGCAGTAGACACAGCCCAGCGTCATGAAAAAGCAGAAAGAGAAGAAGTACCGATGGTTATAGTGGCCCACACAGTTGTTTAGCCAGGCTGGTGGGGGAAAGATTAAGGACAAGATCAAACAGAGCTGCTGGTCTCTCTGGTTCATCCCTGCTTCATGATGGCATCATCCAAGCACAGGGCTTCCAGTCACCAAGAACTATTCCTCAAAGGCAGGAAAATATGGGACTGTTTCCAGAGGTTAAAGCTTTTCAGAGCCTTCACTAGTCCCACTGGGAAGTTGTGAAAACTGAAATCCTTCAGCAAAATGAATCTGCCAATACTCCAACCTAGCTGGGGTTAACCAGCCACCTGTAGGGGACCAATGGTTCTATCGGGCACACCCAGTGGGCAACATGAAGCCCAAACATCTTAACACCCCACAAATGTTAGCATGATGGTCTACAAAAGAAAGAACTGTTCGAGTAGATGCCCTGCTCCAAGATCTGTCCCATAGAGAGCTTTTAAGTCTCCAGCTTTTCCCCCCCACCCCCCCGGAGATGGCCAGTCCCCACCACTCCTCTTCTACTAACTTTTCATGAGCCCAGTGTCCTAGGAGGGATGATGCCTTGGTTGCAGCATCACAACCCAGTGCAGGGCTCTGGAGCTAAAGAAAGAGGCCTCAGGCAGAAGAGATCATAAAAGGATACGGCAGTGATGATCCATCTTCAGCACACACCTGTGAGGGAGGGACACAGGCTCTGTTACGGTGGCCAAGGTTCTTGAGAGGTCAGTGCCCATCCTTTCCTACAAGGCCCAGCATCCTGCTGAGGTGGAAAGGGCACAGACTTTGAAGACAGGCCTTGCTTCAAACCCTGCTTCATTGGCTACATGATCTTGGACAAGGTTAACTCATCTATGAAGTTCGGTGTCCACAAGTGGTGACAATGCCTAACCCAGGACCATCCTGAGGACCAGGTGTCACGATGTGAGGGCACACTGCCTGGTATATGACGGGCGTTTCATAAACGTCTTCTCAAACTTTAGGTCTAAATTTTGCCCTAGGGTTTCAGCAAAAGGGCCACAGCGGGGGTTCACAGCGAGCAAAGCCAAGACCCACCTATTGCAGATGCTGCAGTGGTGTGTTCGGGCTGGCTTGGGGTAAATGCACTTCTTACAGATGGAGACTGTTGCGATATCATTCCTGCCCTGTGCAAAGGGAGAAAAGCATCAGGACAACTGTGACAGCACAGTTTTGTACCTCAGAAGATTCCAAGGCACTCTCCCCACCCCTGGGGCTGCTCCCACAGCCGGCAGTTCTATGCCTCCCACGTGCCCCCGTGGGGACCCACCTGGGGTGGGTATCCAGGTGGAGTGGTGATGGCCTGGTAGTAATGGAAGACGATAAGGATCAGATTCCAGTGGCTGTAGAAGAAGTGCCAGCAGAGCCGTGGCACTGAGTACGTTCGGAGGATGAGAGGCAGGACACACAGATAGGCGATGGCCACGATGGAGCTGGTCAGCACAATCACCAGCACCACAAACACCTGCCAACACCAGTGAGGTCGGGGAGACACAGTGAGAGTTTGCCAACACCAAGAGCAGACTCAGGAATTTCCCTGGGGTAGGGGGCTGGTGTGGGTCCCAAACCCAATGTGGGTCCACCAGACACATGTCCTTCTGCTAGCCCAAAACATCCCTGGGCATCACTCACCACCCCACACCAGCGGATCACGTTGTCCACCAGCCAGTAGATAGGCTCAAAGGCAGCATCGACAGCGGTGTCACTGCCCCCAAAGGAGTTGTAGAGCAGGGAGCGCAGGCAGACCTTGCCGTAGCGCCAGCGCTGTACCAGGCCCCGGAGCAGAGGCAGGCGGCGGCGCCTGGAGCCCAGGAGCAGAAGCAGGCGCAGGCAGAGGCGGGCGGGCCCCAGCAGCAGGCTCCGCGGGCCCCGCATGGCTCCTAGGAGAGCACACCATTGGGAGGAGCCAGCCCGGTCCCGGCCCTCCCTAGCCCACCAGGGAGGAGGAGGCGAAGACCTAGGATGAGGCCCACCTGGGCCAGTCACCAGCGGTGGGAAGTAGGGAGGTCACTTCACTTCTCTGCGGAATGGCTGGTGCCGGCGTCCCAACCAGATCACACGGGGTAGGGGCCAGAGGCTCTGAGCCTGCAGAAATCCTACTTACATCACACCACTTGGGTGCACCGCAAATCCAAGATGAGGCACACCTAGAGCGAAGGGCCACAGTAAAGTGCTGAGGGAGAGGCAGGCTGCTCCAAGCCAAGGCAGGGTCTCTGGAGTCGCCTGGGTGGAGCACAGTTGACATGCACAAAGCTGCCACCATGCCTCTGTGGACATGGCCATCATAGCAGAGGACTCCAGGGGTACCCTGCCTGCTCCAGCCCATCGACCTACCTCCTGACAATTGTTCTTCACCAAGGAAGGGCCAGGGGGGGAGTAAGTGCATAGCATGTGGATCCTACATCTAGATCTGCCCTGGTGCTGAATCTCTGCAAAAGATATTCATCTTTCCTACTTCCTCTGGGCTGATTTACAGGCCACCAGACCCAACCTGGTAGCATGAGAGTCCCTGCCTCCGGTCAGGACACCTCAGCTATCCTGCATGACATAAGATGCTTTGTCTCCAATTCCAGTCCCAGCCCCACCGCAAGGATACAAAAGCCAAGACAATTTCAGTTGTTCACAGCAGAATAACACCACAGGCAGGAGACCCTGGCAGTGGGAGAGGGACCTTCATGCTGTGGTTCATGAAGACCACAGAGCCTATCCTCTGTGATGAGTCTCCCCTGCCCAGTTCTAGCTGGACACTCATGAGTCTTCTCTACAGCTGCTGCCCTTGGCCCCAGGCTTCCTAACCAGCCTTCCCACCTTTGCAAGTACCTTCATCTCCTCTATGTGATTTCTACCTCACTCAATAGCCATGGCAGGTCAGCTGCCCAGGCAACGTCCAGCACAGAAGTCATGGCTCCTTCAACGTTAGTCTCCTCAATTCTGCAGCTTAAAGCCCTTACCAGAAAAGAAATTATCTGACTTTCCCCTAGGGCTACTCTGTCCTCAGCAACTCCACTGACTTATTTAACAGGCAGCTCAAAACCCAACAGAAACTGGAGGAGGCTGCTCCACCGGAGTGATGGTTTCAGTTCAGTAACTGGAGCAAGGTACTCTCCTTGCACACTGGCTTATCACTAAAGGCCTTTCAAAACAACAACAACAAAAAAAACAAACAAAAAAAAGCACTTCAATACCTCCTTCCACAAGCCCTGTAATGACCTAAGGCAAAAAGGAATCCGAGAGACAAGACCAGCAAAGAGAAGAAAGACAATTCAGTAAGGACCTACTGTGCATCAGAATAAAGAAACTGGCCATTCCCATCACTCCTAGGAGCTAAGAGATTTAAGAAGCAGTGTAGAAAAGAGAGAAAGGAAAAAGTCAGCCTTCCTACTTCCTCTTGAGTTGGGAGTCCTGTTGCTTGGAACCATGACTTGGCTTGAAGCATGAGTTTTCAAAATAGTGTATGGCTATAGTCAAATGTAAGAGACGAACATTTTACCCCACAACAAATCCAAGTGACTCAGATTGTCCACATCACTGTTCATTCCCTTACTGTGGCTAATGGAGAGTTTCCTATTTGCTAAAATACTCTTTACAGCAACAGCTTGCAAATAAGATGCATTCCTCACCTGTTAATGAACACGAATTTTATGCCATCTCTCCTGTTCTACAAAAAACCCAGAAACATTCCTTTTCAGATTCTCCACCTTTCAGACTGTCCTCAACCACCTCTGGTATTCCTGAGCTCTATAGGAAATGCCTGCCTCAAGGACTAGACTTACTCTCATCCACCCCATAACCTGACTACTTAGGGCTCCATACTGCCCTTTAGTAGCTCTGTGACCTTGGGCAAATCACCCAACCCTGCTGGAACTCAATCTCCTTGTGTCCTCATTCAGTGACAGGGTAGGGTTAAATGCTAAGGTCCTTTCCAGCTCTAACCCTTTATTGTTCTATATATACACTTGGTTAAGGTATAAATGAAAAGTTTACAAAATGCCTAGCACGATAATCTGGCTCATAGAAGGGCTCAATAATTGCTTGTTGAAAGAATGGAGGATGCAGAAGTGGTGAGGCTGGTCAGACGTCTATCTGTGCTACAAATAATAGCAAGTGCACTGCTGCCAGTGTGATAACACTAAAAAAGTATCTGATGCTATCATTCTTCACGGTCAGTAAAAAGAAACAGAAACCATTGTTAGAAGCATAGCACTTAAGAGCTAGAAAAGATTTTAGAAAACATGTCCAACCAGAAATCAACCCAAACATGTAAACTGAAAGCTTGTAGATGCAGAGCTACAGATCAGATTTGAGTGAAGAGTTTGAAGCCAACTCCCTCCCAACTCATTTTAGCTAGTGGGGCTTAGGGGGTATGGGGATGCCAGGGAAGAGATACTGTGGTCCATGGGACCACACTTGAACATACGGAGTTCCTCATTTCTCAGGAAATTGAGCTAAACCAGAATTGAAAAAAACTGTGTGTGTGTTGTGGTGGGGGGTGGAGAATCAGAGTGAACACGGGAGGAAACAGAGCAAAGCAGAGCTTCACTATCACCCCAAGCACAAGCCTTTAGTACTCTGATCCCTCAGTAGCAACCACAGGCCATAGTGCCGTCTGCCACCAGATTAGAGGGGATTGATGGCCACAGCACTCCCCTCTTTCCAAGGCTCTAAGTCACCATCTGTTTTCCAAGGGGAAACTGGATTAGTGGGGGCTGGAGGGTTTGAACAGGGAGGGACATATTCCAAAGCCACCAGAAGGCAAGGGAAACTGAGATGAAAGTCATAGCAAATCTCATCTGGACAAAGATGCTGCTCTCAGGATGTTTGCTGTGTTAAGCAGTAGTTGTCAGTCATCAGTAAGAGCAGCGTTCTACTCATGTGCAGACTTCCCTTCCGGACTAACATGTTTGAAAGAGAAAAAGTTAAGGATGGGCCCACACGACCTGAGATCCGCTTGAGAGGATCCGACTGCAAGATCTGAAGCTGCAGTCATAAAAACCGGGAACAGGCTTTATTTCTGAATGGGGTGGCGTGGTCAAAGTGCGATGGACTGGAAGTAAAAAAAAACAAAAAACAAAAAAAAAACTTGGGTTCCGGTTTGGGCTCTACCTTTAACTATCTTTGAGCCACTGGACAAGTCAAATCCTGTCTCTGGATCTGAGTTTCCCAATCTGTAAAATGGGCAAGTTGGGTCAGCTGACCTCCTTCCAGCTCCGCGCGTTACGCTGCCCGAAGGGTGCACTCCGCCAGACTTGTGCAGGGCACTGCCGTGCAGGGCGGGGCAAAAAGAGAACAGGCCCCCGGGCTCACGAAAAGGCCCCGAACAGGGCCCGATCCTAGAAAAAAGGGCAGCACTGGGGAGCAAAGGCCGCGGGTCCGCTCTTACCTGCCGCCTGCCGACTCCCCAGTCAGCCAAATGGAACCCCACAGCCTCCGCCGCCGCTCACTGCCACCCCCTCCAGCTCCGCAACCCGTCCGGGCTCGTTTCAGTCCAACCAACCATCGCCCGCCCTCCGCAGCACCAGCCCGCAGACTGGGACCCGCCGCCAGCCCATCCTGGACCACAGGCGCACGCGCAGGCGGTCCGGAGCCCCGCCCCCGGACTGGTCCCGGGGCAACCTGGGAAATAAAGTTTCCCGGAGGAGGAGCTCCCGAAGATCACGTGATAAATTATACCAATTGGCGCGTTTCTTACTGTGGAACCGCTCCTGAACTTCGGCCAATGAGAAGTCGACTTCGTTTCCCTCCAGTGGCAGTCATGGCGCCACCCGTGAGGTACTGCATTCCGGGTAAGTGTGCGGGGCCCATAGCGAATTCTGGGTGGGACAGAGGCAGGAAGGTTGGATGGCCAACACCTTATGGGGACCCGTGACTGATGCAGCGTTTTGCTTCAGGCGAACGTCTGTGTAACTTGGAGGAGGGCAGCCCGGGCAGCGGCACTTACACCCGACACGGCTACATCTTTTCGTCGCTTGCTGGCTGCCTGACGAAGAGCAGCGAGAACGGCGCGGTAAAGGGGCAGCTTCCCATTTCCTCCTTCTTTTCCTTTCTTTTAGGCTGCTTTTGATTTCGCGGTCATTAGGCAGGGGCACTACGGACGCGTCTTTAGTGCCTCAGCAGTAGAACAGCTGGTCTCCGAGTTTCTTCCAGCTGAGGTCTCCACTGCTGGGCACTTAGCCACCACAGACCAGATGTGTTGCTCTCGCTTGATTATATTGCTGACACTCGGGGAAGGAAGTTAGGGGACGAGCGGAGGCGGACTGAGCCCTGCAGTGAGCTGAATCTTGTCCGAATGTCGCCCACCTCTCCGGTTACATCTTGCTCCGCCATTCCCACCTCACTCTGCAGTCTAGTCACACAGGCTTCTTTCACTGTCGCTAGTGGGGTAAGCTCTCTCCTGCCACAGAGCCTTTGTACACACGGCATCTATTTGTAACACACTCATCTCCTTAGCCTGTTTAATTCCTATCTTTCAGATAGCCTCTCTAGTATCACTTTATGAGAGAAGCCATGCTAGACCCACTAGTCAAGGAAAGGAGTTTTGTGAGCTTTTATTTTTTGTTTGTTTTGTTAAACTCTCACAAAGAACTAAATTTCTTTGCTTCCGTGCGCTCATCTTTGCATATAATTAAACATTCAGTTACATGTTTCCCATAGACTCTTCCCTTACCAGACTCTTAAGTTCCATGTGAAGCAAACCTTCCCACCATACCTTTAGTGCCAAGCACAAGGGCCTATGCTCAGTAAATGTTTGTTGAATGCCTAACACTGTTCTCTCTAGTTCCAGAGGCTGATCCAGGATTAGCCCAGGATCAGATAAACAGTATTGGAAGGAGCAGCTTAAAGACAGGGAGCATAGTAGAAAGAGGTTCAGAATTAGGACATTTAGGTACTGGCTAACTAGACCTTGTTTCTGCTTTAGGTTAGAAACTTGCTCTCTCTTGTTTTAGGTTTTTCCTCATATGTAAAATGAGAGACTTTTTATTCAGTAATTTTGGGAATGTCTTTTAACATATCAAAGTTTATTCATTTCACAGAAATATTTTTTTAATTTTTTTTTTAAGATTTTATTTATTTATTTGACAGAGAGAGACACAGCGAGAGAGGGAACACAAGCAGGGGGAGTGCGAGAGGGAGAAGAAGGCTTCCCGCTGAGCAGGGAGCCCAATGCGGGGCTCGATCCCAGGACCCTGGGATCACGACCTGAGCCGAAGGCGGACACTTAACCAGCTGAGCCACCCAGGCGCCCCTCATAGAAATACTTATTGAGCATTTTCATGTGCCAGGCGCAATGCTGACCTCTAGAGATATGGTAATGAGCCAAATTCACATGGTTTCTGTTATCAAGGGACACAGACATAAATTGTAAACAAGTAAATGCTCAAATTAGTGTATGGCTACAAATGTGATGACTATTTTGAAAGAATATTACAGGTTACCATGAGAACGTGTAAAAGACAAACCCACCATAGTCGGGAGAAGTGACATTTAACCTTAATCTAAAGGATAAATAAAAATTGGGTAGGTGGGGAGAGTACAGTCCTGACAGAAAGAACAGGTTGAACACAAATTCTGAGATGGGAAGATGTTTAATGAATTAGTGAAACTGAAAGAAGGCCGGGGAACTGAAGCATAGTAAGTGAGGGAGAGGTAAATAAAAGATGAGGCTCAAAATATCTGTCTTGGGGTGCCTGGGTGGCTTAGTCAGTTGAGCATCCGACTCTGGATTTCAGCTCGAGTCATGATCTCAGGGTCCTGGGATCAAGCCCCGTGTCAGTGCTCCCCCACCCCCGCTCAGTGGGGAGTCTGCTTGGGATTCTCTCTCCCTCTGCCCCTCTCCCCATTTGCGCATGCACGCGCTGTATCTCTAAAATAAATCTTTAAAAAAATATATCTGTCTTACACCAGCAGCCAATACCATGCTCAAAGAGAAAACTACAAGTATTCCCTTAAAATAGAAGAAATCAAGTATGGCCATTATTATATAACATTTATTTGGAAATTCTAGTCAGTACAGTAAAGTGAGAAACAGAGGGAAGTAGTGTAACTTTGGAGGAGTCAAGTTATCTATGATAGACAATGGTTATATACCAAGAAAGCCAAGAAAATCACCAAAAATCTTGTTAGAACTGATCTGAAATGATTAGATTATGTTTTCTAGTAGCATTCTTCCCTTGAAGAATGGCCCCTTGACCTTCCTATTGCCTAAAATTTCTAAGGCTGTCTACTCTGGGCACATATGAGTCTATAGTCCACCCATCCTTGGGATCTCAGCCGTGGACCAAAGCATTCCTACATTACTCTTAAGCCACAGATTACCTTTATGCAAGGCTTAGTCAGGATCTCACATTTTATTGTTTTCTCTATAGCTTCCTGTCATTTCTGTCATGAGAGAAACAGAGTCCCAGTTACTACCAGATGTGGGGGCTATTGTAACCTGTAAGGTAAGTTGGTCTTAACCTCCCTGCTTAGGACACTTGTTCAGTGGTGAAATCATGATCATTGTGGAACTGCACTGTCTAATATGGCAGCCACTTGCCATATGTGGCCACTTAATTGAAATGAATTAAAATTAAACAAATTCAGAGTTCATTTCCTCAGTCCCACTAGCTACATTTCAAGCGCTCACATACAGTTAGGAGCTGCCCTGTTGGCCAGCACAGAACATTTCTGTCATCACAGTGTTACTGGACTGTGCTGGCCTAGAAAGTTCTGGGATAGTGATCAGGGCAGCCAGGTTCAGGCACGCATAGTTATTTCACTGAGCTGAGTCTCTGAGTATGCAGTTGGGGAAACAGGGGTGTCAAAGGGTAATAAGGAGGTCTATTTTTTAACACCTGGAAGCTGAGATCTTATTCTGCAGAGAAGCAAAAGACCTTATATTATAGCATTCCTGTTAAATTTCATCTTTTAGGGTGTTTCAGGGGAAGTACAAATTAAGGCTGTACTGATCAATAAATGTAATACATCCTTACTCCCTGCCCATCCCCACCTCTGCCAGGTTAAATTAACTTGTAGCTCTTAGTTGCTCTCTTTATAAGTTGTTCCAGCAAAAAATCTGTGTGTTATTCTCAAAATAACTGAAGAGGCAGTGATCCAAATATTACGCAGTAGCTGAGATGTACATTTAAATTCTGTCCACTCTACAGGCCTCTTAGCAAGATCTGTTAAAGGTCCAGATTTGCTGTGATGCCCTGTGTCTATTTATGTTAGGCTTCTGTATTTCTCAAGATCTATTCCATGTTATTTCATTGGATGCCCACAGTAACTTTATTAGGTGGCCAGAGTGGCTCTCATTCCACTTTATATATATCATTTATGCAGAGTTAAATAGGAGTTAACTTGCCTTAAATTCTATAATTAGTAGGGTTCCTTGGACTAAAATCCTGGTAATCCCTACTTTCTTGCTTCCTCCTTGAGCTGACAACTGCTACTACTCTAATGCTGATCTTTTCTCTGCTCCCCAGGTCTCTAGCATCAATTCGCGCTTTGCCAAAGTGCACATCCTATATGTAGGGTCCACACCACTTAAGAACTCTTTTCGAGGAACTATCCGGTAAGAAGTGTTCGTGTCTTTGCCTTTGCCTCAGCACCTGGAATGAGATTAGGATAGAACAGGGGACTGGAATTTTTAGGAACAATTACAGTTCCTATACCTGCCTCTCTGGCTCTCTTTGTGTTTTGATTCTGTCCAGGTAGTGTCCAAAGGAAATGTTAAAATGTATGAGCTAGGACAAAAGGAAAATATTGACAAGATTGGGCTTTAAAATAAAATGAAAAAGGGGCACCTGGGTGACTCAGTTGGTTAAGCGACTGCCTTCGGCTCAGGTCATGATCCTGGAGTCCCGGGATCGAGTCCCGCATCGGGCTCCCTGCTTAGCAGGCAGTCTGCTTCTCCTTCTGACCCTCCCCCCTCTCATGCTCTATCTCATTCTCTCTCTCAAATAAATAAAATCTTTTAAAATAAAATAAAATGAAAAGAATTGAGCTAAGCTGGAGACTAGTGATGCAGGATGATCCAGCTAGTGATGCAGGATGATTCATATGAAACAAAGTAGAAGACATTTTAGGAAGCATCTTCCTTTCTTTAATATAGTTTAAACCCAAGGATTTTAAGACATTAAAAAGGTTAGTGGGTGAGGGGCACCTGCCCGGCTCAGTCAGCAAAGCATGCACCAGTCTTGATCTTGGGGTTGTGAGTTCAAGCCCCACGTTGGGTATAGAGATTACTTAAAAATAAAATCTTAGGGGCACCTAGGAGGCTCAGTTGGTTGAGCAACCGATTTGCCATTTCAACTCAGGCCATGATCTCATGGATCATGAGATTGAGCCTGTGTTGGGCTCTGTGCTCAGCGGAGAGTCTGCTTGAGATTCTCTCCCTCTGTAAAATGGAGGGCGTACTCCCCCCACTCACATGCGTGTGTGTGGTCTCTTCTTTCCCTCTGTCTCTGTAAGATAGGTAAATAAATAAATCTCTTTTTTTTTAAGATTTTATTTATTTATTTGACAGACAGCAAGAGCAGGAACACAAGCAGGGGGAGTGGGAGAGGGAGAAGCAGGCTTCCTGAGGAGCAGGGAGCCCGATGCAGGACTCAATCCCAGGACCCTGGGATCATGACCTGAGCTGAAGGCAGACGCTTAACGACTGAGCCACCCAGGTGCCCTAAATAAGTAAATCTTAAAAAAATAAAATATTTTTTAAAATGGTTAGTGGGTGAAATGTAGATTTTTTTTTTTCTGTAGGTTCTTTGAGAAGGGACAATTCTTTTTTTTTTTTTTAAAGATTTTATTTATTTATTTCAGAGAGAGAGAATGAGAGAGAGCACATGAGAGGGGGGAGGGGCAGAGGGAGAAGCAGACTCCCTGCCGAGCAGGGAGCCCGATGCGGGACTCGATCCCGGGACTCCAGGATCATGACCTGAGCTGAAGGCAGTCGCTTAACCAGCTGAGCCACCCAGGCGCCCCGGGACAAACAATTCTTGTGAGCAAGATAATTTAACTTCTGAGGCACTTTCCACCCTCAGGGTTCCATGTGGTTCTATAGTGCTTCTGTTCAAGCTCTCCTAAGGCAGCAAAGTTCCTTATTTTTTCCTGCCAAATCTGATCTGCTTTTCACTAGTCAGAGGTATTGATACTGCTGCTCTGTGTGACCCAAGAATGGGAATGTGGTTTTGTCCTCCGGATGAGGACTTGGAATGCTTCTCTACCCCACTTCTGTGCATGGCATTTGGGTCCCAATTATGACTTGTTCTCTCTACTCTTGTAGATCTTTGTCTACTATGATTCTGCAGAATAATTCTTTCCCACCGATAATTAATCTTTCTGTTAATTCTTTTTTATAGCAAGGAAGATGTCCGAGCTACTGAAAAAGACAAGGTTGTTGGTTGGTCCTTTTTCCTTTTTTCCTTATGACTTTAGGAATCTCAATCCTTTTAAATTATTCCAGTGAATTTCAAACATCTGTGGGAATGTAGATCCAAAGATCCAAGGAATTTTAAGGTGTTTCCTACTGGAAAGTGTGGAATTCTCCTCACTGTCCTTTTCTTCTCCCTAGGATTTTTGTTTGCTCTGTTGACCAGAAGGGGATTAGTTTACTCCTTGCCTTTGAAACCAGATGTTTATTTTTTGCTGATCCCTCAGATTTACTCTGGATCCTTTCAGAGCCAACTGTAGTAACTTTTGTCCAAGTCAGATTCCTGATCAGGTTACTGAATTAAAAATCTTTCGCTTATATGATCATGCTGTAAAAGCAATAAAAGTTTTTGATTGGCTTGACTAATGATGACTTCCACCCTATGGGTTAAAAAGTAGATTGGTTCTACCAGAGGGGTAATAGTTTCATGTAGATCTGATTTAGAGCTTTCACTTAACAATCCTGTTCTTTTTTTTACAGGTTGAGATTTATAAAAGTTTCCGCCCAGGTGACATTGTCTTGGCCAAAGTGGTATCCTTTATTCCCAGCAGTCTTGTGGTCCTTTGTCAAAATAAGAAATAGAGGGGCGCCTGGGTGGCCCAGATGGTTAAGCATCTGCCTTCAGCTCAGGTCATGATCCCAGAGTCCTGGGATCGAGCCCCACATCGGGCTTCCTGCTTGGCGGGGAGCCTGCTTCTCCCTCTCCTTCTACTGCTCCCCCTGCTTGTGCTCTCTCACTCTGTCAAATAAATAAAATCTTAAAAAAAAAAAAGAAATATAAGTAGAAAACAACTCAAGTGGCTATGGGAGGGAAGATTTATCACCCATCATTTTCCTTTACCAGTGTTGTGTGACTAGATCTCCCTGGGTGATGCACAGTCCAACTACCTCCTGACCACTGCTGAGAACGAACTCGGGGTGGTGGTCGCCCACAGTGAATCAGGTGAGTAGGTCCATGCGTCCATGTGCTTATTTTTCCCTGGGAGCTGTGGTTTGGGATTAATCCACTGTTTTTTTCTCCTTACCCTTGTTTTTTTAATTTTCTAGGCAGCAATATGAGTGTTAGTACTTACTACTGAGATTAGAATGATTCTCCTTATATAATTGTAATGGGAGACTCACTGTATAAGTCACTGGAATAAACAAGGCTTTTTCTGTATGAGGTGAGGTTCACTAGATTGTCTGGTGATACTTCAGTTCAAAACCAGCCTTGAAAGGGAAGAGTCTTAGGTAAATATTTGGGGTCCCAGTTCCAACATCACCTCTTCCCTTCCAGGTGTCCAGATGGTTCCCATTAGCTGGTGTGAGATGCAGTGCCCTAAGACCCACACTAAAGAATTCCGGAAAGTGGCCCGAGTACAACCTGAATTCTTGCAGACTTAAGAAGCCACATTTTACCCCATGGAGAGGGGTAAGCCATTTCTGAGAGTACATGTATGAACCCAACATCAAGATGCCATTGTTTTTATTCAGACACCTGGGGTTGGCCAACAACCACCTTTAGAAAAACCTGCTAGCAACTTCTGCTGCAGGTGGAATATTTTTCTTATGAACCTTTCAGTGGATTTCATTCTCTTAAGTGATCAATTTCTCTTTTGGAGGAGCCAGCAAACAAACTGTATAACGTTGGAAGTAGCCTGTTCCTTCTGACAGTCTTGCAAATACATATTTTTGGCTGTGACAAAGAAAACATTTTTACTAAAAGGATTTTATGGTTTCTGTTGTCTTGAGTAGGGAAGGGAATCCAAAAAGCATCATGACATTTAGAGCAGGGGTTTGCCTGGTTGCTGACACTCATTAACTGACGTGTGTCAAGTGCTTACTTCCTCTGGAAAAGCCTAATCTCCAACCTTTTTTGTCTTTTTTATGTTCTATTTTAAGCACTTCCACTTATTGAGTACTTACTATGTGCCAGGCACTGGATCAAGCACTTTATATACATCTCATTTAGAGAGATTACAGTTTAGTGAAAATTACAGAACATATGGGGATTCAGGGTACATGTGAGTAGTTCTGAAACTAATTAGGTGAACATAGTATTACTGATTTAGTGGTACCCCAGGAAATGTTTGCTAAATCTGAAAAGAGGGACAGAGCACTGTCACGTAAGGTGACCAGGGAAGGATCTGTGATGTGAAGTAAAAGGAATTGAACTTAGCTAAGTGGAATGAAGATATTCAAGGCAGACAGAGAAGCCTGAGCAAAGTGCAGAAGCAGGAATGAACATGCAAGTTTGGGGATGAGGAAGGGATGAGGTGTTAAGCATGAAGAAGCTGCCGAGGGAATGGAAGGAAAGAATTAGCGGAGAGGTCAGTTGTTGAGATGTTCTTCAAGGATTCTATATCTTTTATGTGTAGTGACAGTGGTTACAGGTGAACTCGAGTCATTCCGCCTGGGTTTATATCCTCTAGCTGCTAGCCTTGAATAGGTTAGGTTGTTCTGTTTTTTTTAATAGAAAATAGAATTGAGATCATTGTAGCTCCACATGCAGTTTTAAAAAATAATAGAGATTCCTTGTACACTTTGCCCATTTTCCCCCAATGGTGATATTGTACAAATTACAGTATACTAAAATAATCAGGATGTTGAACATTGATGATAGTGCAAGTTATTTTTGTTTCTTTTAAAGTCTGTTTCCTCCTCTGGAATAGTATGATCTCATAGGGTTATTGTGAGGAAGAAATGCCAAAGTTCCAGTACATGCCGGTATTGTATGTTGTTATTATAGACCTGATTGCCTTCTATCAAGTATCTGTCAAATTCCAAGCCTTATGTTAGACACTTTGATGTAGTTTAAGCAGTCCCCTTACTGATAGACATTTTAAACTTTACAGATTTTTCTTTTACAGGCAATGCTACTGAGAAAATCCCTATACTGTATATCCTTGTGCATGCCTAGGTTTTATGGCAAAACAGATTCCTAGAAGTGGAATGCTGGGTCAAAGAATGTGTACTTTTTAAATTTTGGTTAGATTTTCCCATGTTGCCTTGCAGGAAGATGCTACCAATTTGATTCTACAGCATTAGCCACTTATTTTCTCTCTGACCTTCCCAGTAGCCCTGGAATGTACTAATCATTTCTACATTTTACAGAGAAGTAAACTAAGGCTTAGAAAAATTAGTTAACTTGCCCTACGTCACATAGACATCAAGTGGCAGACCATTAGAGCGTTATTCAAACCTACGTCTGTCGTACTGTAAAGCCCAAATTCTTCTGTACCATGGTGCCCTCCTTTTTCTAAGTATTGACCAGAACCTTGGGCATGAAATTAGAGGCTCTCCAAATTGACAGTGGTTCATTAATTGCTTGTTGGGACATCATTCATTCAATAAATATATATTGAGCAACTACTGTCCTGACCACTGTTCAAGGAACTAGGAGTTAAAGCAGTGAACATGATAGAATCCTTTCCTTGTAGAGCTTACATTCTAATGCGGAAAGACAGGTGATACATAAACAAACGTTCTAATAAAGTGTCATAAAGAACATTTGAAACAGCTGGATAATAGCCCTCTCTGATCTGCTGAAGAGCAGGTTGGATTTTTCCATTAACTGTCCAATATTGTATTACAAGTTGAGTTTATGTGCCTGTCTCCCCTACTAGCCTGAGCTTTTAGGGTAAGATTCTGTCTTTGAATCTTCGGTACCTGGTATTGTGACTAAACATAGCAAAGCACACTAAAAGTTTTTTTGCGTGTTCTCATAGCTGACTCAGTGGCTCTGCCCAAACAGTGATGTTTAGTGATGATATCTGCTCATCTACAACTGGATCTAGAGACAAGGAGAATATTGTTTCTGTGCCTTGGAATAGTGATTCTCAGCCTGGGTGAGGTGAACTTCGTAACTGCCTACAAAGGGTCCCCCCCGCCCCAGGTGATTATGTTTAGCTAGCTAAGCATGGTCTTGGAAGGATAGTTGTTGTTAGCCTCCTAGTGGTGTTGGTAAATAATGCAGGCTTTCTGCCCCTAAGAGTTTTAGTCAATTAGTGAAGACGGCCAAAAACTTAGGTGATGTCAAGACATAAGAAAGAGTAAGCTGATCCAATCTGAGTTGGGTGAAGAGCCTTGGTCAAAGAAAATTATCAACTTTTTTTGGTCTACGATTCAGTATAGGCTAAGTAAATTTAACATTCCACCAGACTGTTGGGGACTTAAAATTACTAAAGCTCATCTTGGGGTTTCTGTATAGATCAAGTGAAAAACTAGAGAAGCAAGATGATTAGAAGTATTTAAATTTAGCATAAGGACTTTTAGTTGAATATTTTTCCTCTGGGTTCCAGTACTTGGTAGCATATATTTGGCCAGTTTCTGCATCTCTTTCAGCCTGTTTCTTCTGTAAACTGGGGATAGCAGCCCTTTCAGAGGTGGTGAAGATTAGAGACTGTATATAACGTGCCTCACCCAATGGTCGGCACAGAGGAGCTTCATGAGAGCTTCCCAGACGGAGGGCGTTACTTCCTCCTACTAGAAGAAAGGCATGGGGTGCCTGAGTGGCTCAGTCGTTAAGCGTATGCCTTCAGCTCAGGTCATGATCCCAGGGTCCTGGGATCAAGCCTCACATCGGACTCCCTGCTCGGCAGGAAGCCTGCTTCTCCCTCTCCCCCTGCTTGTGTTCCTGCTCTCGCTATCTCTCTCTGTCAAATAAATGGGTAGAATCTTTAAAAAAAAAAAAAAAGAAAGAAAGGCAGTAAGAGCTTTCTCTTGCCTTGTAGGCTTTCTCATGATCCCATGATCTTTTCAGAGGCCTTAGAGAGAAGGTAAATGTGAGCCATGTCCCTTCCTAATTACACATATAATCATACTCCTTTTCTCCTGCATCATTTTATAAGGTTCTGTGTACTTTCTGAGGATGAAAAGTGTGAATCAAGTTTACAGATTTCTAATAGAAAAAGAGTAGCTTTTTAAGGTAAACAAGTCTTTACCTTACTCAAAAGGCATAATGGAATTTTAGAATTTGACTTTCCACTCAAGTGGTATTCAGTAACCAGCATCACTGAGCAAGAGCTGTAGAGGCAATAGGAATGGAGAGCTCAGCCAAGACGACCTGCCCACCCCACACATCAGCTCCCCAACCTAAGATGGAAAACCTAGTAAGATACACCATATTTGGACCAGGCTGTGTAAAGTGACTGGCTGTCCTAAAGCTTTTACTCTGTCATACAAGGACTTGGGTAATGAGGGACATTTCAAGTTTAATGTTCAAGCTGACCTCACATAAGAGGTATCACTACATCACACAGAGATATTGCACATCACTCCTTTATTATACTGATCTGGAAAAAAGATTTAGTACAGAGATTTACGCTCAAAATGAGTACCGGGCCCGTGGCAGGGCCAAGCAACTGGAACATGATCAGAAACAGATATAGTAAAGACACACTTGGACATGATTGAGAGGCATCTCACTGCCATAAAATATTAAGGCAGGGGAGGGGTTCTAAAACACACAGCAGGATAAAATCCTAGGCCTTAGAAGTCAAGGAATTTATCCCACATTGGTGTGAGGAATGGCTTATTTTTGGATGATCACATGTGGGAATATTTCAACCGCCACTAGAAACCCCAGAAGGGTTTTTTTGTTTTGTATTTTATATATATACATATACATATATATATATATGTATATATATATATATATATATATATACACTTTTTTTATTTCCTTGAGAAAGTAAATATAACATGTAAAGCATTCAGAGTGATCCCAATCTTCTGGAGCCAGCTCTTCTGGGGTCAGAGGGGAAATGATTATTTTTAATCACCATGCAGGTTACATTCATCTTCCACTGGAATGACTAGAGCCCCTCCGCCCCCCACCTGACTACAGAATAGTAAAGGACTTGCTCCTGGGAACACACATAGGCTCTCTTGCTTCTCATTGGTCACACCCAGCATGGTTCCTCCCTATCCCCAAATCAAGCAGGTCCTTAGTAATAAAGCAGTAGCAAAAACCCCAGTGTTACTAATTCCCTACTCTTGGGTAAGAGTCTTCTCTCAGCTTAGACTGAGAACCCATGCCCCAGAAGTGCCATTCTGACTAGAATATATGAAGGGAATGGGTGCAAGAAACAAAATGGCTAAATGAAATTAGGAGCCACTGGTCCCCATCTGCAGCTAAAACTTAAGATGCCTACAGATGTGGTCAGTGTGACATGTGCAGGGAAGAAGTGCAGAGGAGTGGGATGGGCAGGGAGGGATCCTTGGGAAAGTAGTCTGCCTGCTTGCCTTCACTTTTTGGCCTTGCCCTGGGCAGCCACAGCTTCCATGGCTTTACGCACGGTCTCTTCATCCCCCAGGAACTGCATGGGCTTGATGGGCTTCAAGTTCTTGTCCAATTCATAGACCATGGGAATACCTGTTGGCAGGTTCAGCTCCATGATAGCCTCTTCGGAAAGACCTGAAAATACACACCATGATTAGCCAACCAAGACACAAATCCACATCACCCCTGCAGGTGACAAAGGACTTCAGTAGGAATTAAAACAAGACACCCTTTCCGATATTTGTAATAACAGTAATGATCTGTATTACAGATCAGTCACCCAAAGAATGCCCCCAATACTTCTCAGCCACTGAAAAGCAAGAAAAAAGTATGAAAAGGTGTGTACCACAGATCTCTCTCCCAAAGTAGGGTTTGGAAACCCACAGCAAAGCAGGACCATACACACCTCAAATGTCCTATGTAGTCCATCCAGCCTGCCAAAAATCAGCACATCTGTGCCTCAAGGCCTTCAGGTGAAACAATTCAGGATGCAAATTGAGGTTCACGTGTGAAGTTGTACCAGGTTGTGATGAAGGAGGATTTTATCAGTAGTTTCAAGTGGCAGTCCTAGTCTAAAGGTGAGCATCTCAAACTATAATGTGTATGTGAATCACGTGGGTAACAGATGCAGCTTCTGCATCAGGCCTGAAGGGGGACCGGAAGCTCTGCATATATAATAAGCACCCAACGAGTCTATCTACGATGCTTGGAGGCAACAAGGGTAGAGGGTGACTAGGAGTCAATCTAGATTATCTCCAAGGCGCTCCATATGTCTGGCCTTTTCCTGAAGGTCCCCTTTGCATGAAATAAGTCCCTGATTAGTGGCAATTTTGCTGTATCCCTCCTTGAGGGTTCCCCTGAAAAATATACATACTCTCCAGATGCTTGACAATGCCCCGAAGGCTGTTGCCATGGGCTGCAATCAGTACTCGTTTCCCCTCCTTGATCTGGGGAACTATTTCTTCATTCCAAAAGGGCAGAGCTCTGGCAATTGTGTCCTTCAGACTTTCACAGGAGGGTAGCTGATCTTCAGTGAGATCTGCATACCTTCGATCCTAAACAACAAAAAAAACCCAAACTCACCAATTAGTAGTAGTTGCATCTGTTCTGCCCACTCCTCATCCCCTAAGTCAAAGTGATGGATGAAAGTCTCTCACCCGGGCACAGAATGGAGCGGAGAGCTTGGCAAAGGGGGTAATTATTATCTTGCTGCTCTTCCTACCACCATTACCCACTAATTGGGAAGATTAACTATTCAAAAGAAACTTAGAAAAGAAGGGGAAAAAAAAGGTAGGCACAAAGCTTTTCCCAATTCACTTAATCACTTGGCTTAGGAAGGCCCTACAACTATGGATGGGTTTTATAAAGTATGTCAGCGAAGACAGAAAAAAGGATATATTCTCAAATAACTATCAACCCTAGGGCGCCTGGGTGGTTCAGTCAGTTAA